GATGATAGGCTAGATGAAGTTTTGTATTTACAAGATGATGTAAGTGCTATAACGCGTGTTGAAAATAATCGTAGACGTAATGAAAGAAATAGACTTAGGCGAGATGAAATTAATTGTTTACAAAATGAAAGAAATAGGCTCGATCGAGATAATGTTAATCGTCGCCAAAACGAAAGAAATAGGCTCGATCGAGATAATGTTAATCGTCGCCAAAATGAAAGGAATAGGCTCTATCAAGATAATGTTAATCGTCGCCAAAATGAAAGAAATAGGCTTGATCGAGATAATGTTAATCGTCGCCAAAATGAAAGAAGAGCTGTTGGACAAGGACGAATGTATTCTATAGCGAGAAGTAATGCTATTCCAGATTATCATTATTTTGGAGAAATGAATCAAATTTGTCAGCACTGTGGTGCTAAGAAATTTCCAGATGAAACACATTTTCTATGTTGCCATAATGGTAAAGTAGCTTTGCCTCCACTTTCACCAGTTACACAAGCTTTAAAGAATTTGTTTACAGGGAGTTATGTAGATCGTAATGCTAATGCTAATTTTTTAAAACATATTCGAAATTATAATGCCTGCCTTTCTTTTGCTTCTTTTACAGCAAATGTAGTTCAACCAATGAATCATGGGCTTCCATGTTTTAAAATATGTGGCCAGATTTTTCATCGTGTAGGTAATCTTAGGCTAGATCAAGATATTCCACCAATATACTCTCAACTATATATTTATGATCCACTTGCTGCACTAAATTTTATAATGCAACACTGTGGTAATGATCTTTGTTTACGTGATTTAATGTTTCAATTGCAAACAATAATTATGGAACAAAGTCCATTTGCTCTTGCATTTAAAAACATGGCTGAAGTAGAAGATGAAGAAATTCGTAAGGCGGCTGTAGAAGGTCGCTCAGCTTCTGTTGTAAAAATGTCTTTACTTGAAGGCGGGGAAAAACGTCGTTATAATCTACCTTCACATGATGAAGTTGTAGTTGTATTTGTTGGCGAAGATGGTGCTCCGCCAACTTCCAGGAAAGTTGTTATTTACCCAAGAGGTCATCCTTTAAAAATTGTATCAAGTATGTCACCCAACTTGGATCCTATGGTTTATCCGCTTTTTTTTCCAAGAGGTGATGCTGGTTGGCATAATCAATTGGTGCATAACCCTGAGCGTGCCACACTGGTTTGAAATCATGTTACATTTACTCAGTTCTACAATTATAGACATTCTTTTAGGCAATTTTTACGTTTATTATTTTTGGCAAGAAACTATTTCAGCAATATGCTGTAGATGCATATGTAAAAATTAAATGCCAGCGTCTTGTTTTTATCAGATATAATCAAAATAAGCTGAGAAGCGAGCAGTACGATGCCTTACATGAACATATTAACAACATTGCCAATGATCGTAATATTAGACCAGGACGAGTAGTAGTTTTGCCATCATCTTATATAGGAAGTTCTAGAGCTTTAAAAGAAAACTTTGAAGATGCTATGGCAATTATTAAAAAGTATGGTAAACCAGATCTTTTTATAACTTTTACTTGCAACCCAAAATGGCGTGAAATAACAGAAAATTTATATCCGGGTCAGAATGCGAATGATATACCTGATTTGGTTACTCGAGTATTTAAACTCAAGTTAAATAACCTCCTCAATGATATATTCAAACATGGTGTATTAGGCAAAGTTGTAACGCATGTTCAGGTTATTGAGTTTCAAAAGCGTGGTTTGCCGCATGCCCACATTTTACTTCATTTAGCAAATGATGATAAACTTGAAACATCACAAAATATTGATAATTTGATTTGTGCAGAAATTCCAGATCCGACAGTTAATTGTGAACTTTATAATATTATCAAAATTTGCATGATTCACGGCCCATGTGGGATACTGAATCCAAATTCTCCCTGCATGAAAGATGGGGTGTGCAGCAAAAATTATCCTAAAGATTTTAATGTCAACACAGTAGCTGTTCACAATGGTTATCCGCGCTATAGGCGTCGTGATAATGGGTTGGTTATCAATATTAAAGGCAACAATGTAGATAACCGTTGGGTGGTACCTTATAATCCTTGGTTATCGAAGAAATATCAAGCCCACATTAATGTTGAAGCTTGCATGTCTGTAAAGGCTGTTAAATATTTGTTCAAATACATATACAAAGGACATGATTGTGCGAATGCTTTGATAAATGAACAGGTTAATCGCGATGAAATAAACACTTTCTTAGATTGTCGTTATGTTGGTGCACCTGAGGCACTGTGGCGAATATTTGAGTATCCCATAAGTCATATGTCACACACTATTATCCGTCTTAAGTTTCATCTTCCTGAAAATCAGATTGTGTATTTTAGAGAAGGAGAAGAACAAGTGGCTTTAGATCGTGCTGCTCAACGTGATACACACCTTACGGCCTGGTTTAAATTGAATTTTGAAAATGGAGGAGCCCATCGCTACTCCTGTTCTATATTGAATAGATGTAAATATGTTGACATTCCATATCACTTTGTATTTGATGATAAACATTGTAAATGGAAGGTTAGACAAAAAGGTGGAAATAAGGTGATAGTAACAATGTATAAAGTTAGTCCAACAGGAGAATTTTTTTTACTTAGATTGTTACTTTTACAAGCAAAAGGAGCAACATCTTGGGAGGATTTGCGTACGGTTAATGGAATAGTTCTTGAAACCTTTCGTAAAGCGTGGGTTTTTAATGGTTTGTTGCAAGATGACACTGAATGGCAGAATACTCTTTCCGAGGCAGTTTTAACGCGAATGCCTAAGCAAATCAGGCAGCTGTTTTTAATTATTTTAACTTTTTGTGAAGCTGATGACCCTTTGCATCTTTGGAATTCATACAAAGCTTTTATGATGGAGGATTTCATTCATCGCCAAGTTTCATTTATATTAGCTGAACAAGCTACTCTTCTTCAAATCGAAAAGAATATTACTCAAAGTGGTAAAACGCTATCTGATTATAATTTGCCTGTTGTTGATGAATTCATAGATTTTAATCTAGAAAAGTTAAATGACAATGTTCAGCAATCAATTGACGAAGCTAATAGAATAAGACCGCTTCTTAATGTCAATCAATTAAATGTAAGTAATGCTGTCCTTGCTGCATTGAACGAGCAACCATGTGTAGAAAATCAACATTCCAGATTTTTTTTTATGGATGGACCAGCCGGTAGTGGCAAAACTTTTGCATATAATTATTTGATTGCTGAAATGAGCAGTAGGGGTGTTAAATATGCTACAGCTGCATGGACTGGCATAGCAGCAACTCTTTTTACAAATGGATCTACGCTGCACGGGTTATTTAAACTTCCTGTCCCAATACTGGATAACAGCACATGTAATGTGACTCCTAACTCTATTCAGAGACAATTTTTAAGGCAAATTAGTTTGTTTATGCTTGACGAGACATCCATGATTCCCAAACACGCTTTAAATGCAATTGATCGGTTGTTAAAAGATGTTTGCAACAACAACTTTCCATTTGGAGGAAAAGCCATTCTTTTTGATGGTGACTTTAGGCAAATTTTGCCTGTTGTGAAAAGAAGGAGACCAGCTGAAGTTGTAGAATCATGTATAAAATGTTCTTTACAGTGGCAATGGGTGCAAAAGTTTACATTAACTGAAAATATGAGAGTACGTGATGGAGAAGGAGATTTTTCCAAAAGGCTTTTAAAACTTGGTAGTGGAACAATACCTGTCAAGGAGGAAGATCCTTTTAAGGGATGTATTGAAATACCGCAACAGTGCATTATTAGAGAAAACGAATCAATTGTTGAAAAAATATTTGGAGATGCTCAACAAGATGATTATGCTAAACTTGTCTTTTTAAAACCCACTAATGTGGATTCATTGTCAATCAATGAAGAAGTTATGTAATGGAACCCGAATGAAAGTTTGTGCTCTTTAAAACAATTATATTGATGCAGAGGTTTTGACAGGTGTTTCTGAAGGTAAACGGGTATTTGTTCCTCGAATTCAGTTGGCTCCATCAGATTCTAATTTACCTTTTGTTCTAAAACCTCGTCAGTTTCCTGTCAGATTGGCTTATTCAATGACAATCAATAAAAGTCAAGGTCAAACATTTGATAGAGTTGAGGTATATCTAAAAGAACCGTGTTTCTTCCATGGTCAACTATACGTTGCATGTTCAAGAACTAGAGCATTTAATAGTTTGTTTTTTAAAATTGATAAACATCCTATTCAAGGTATGGTAGGTAAAAAATACTACACAAATAATGTTATATTTTCTAATGTTCTTAATTTATAGTCTTAATATTTTCATTTCTAAAATTTACTGTTTGTAGGTTGTGAGCTTTAATATTTTTATTTTTTTCATAGTTTTTGATAAATATATTTGTCATTTAATATTGTTATATATTGTGTTTATATTTGTTCTATGAAGTCATATTTGTTTATAGTTGTATATATGTTTACGTAATGTTGTTTCCATGTTTTCAAAGTGGTGTGACTTGGCAAAATGTTAAGCAAGATTGTTAACCTTGCCAGCCAAGCGGTGTACTTATAGCAGAGGTGTGACTTGGCAGCATTTTGTGGCAGGCGGTGTTACTGCTTTAGAGCTAGGTTGTGTTGTCTAGCTTTTTTTAATTTTTTTGGAAACACATAATGTCTGGTAATGTTTTGTGTAATGTGTATAAAAAAGCATGCAACCTTGATCCTTAAATTTGAAATAATTGAATAACTAATATTGAATATAAAAGCAAATATACTATATTAAAGTTTAGTAAAAGGATAAATATAGATAACTCAAAATTGGTTTTTTAGTTTTGTCTTTCATATTCTTTTAAAATTGGTTTGTTATTTTCCACTGGATTTTAGAGTCAAGGGTGTAAATATTAGTTATATAGGTGTGAATATGTGTTAATGTTATGTGTTATTGTTATAATATTGTAATGTATTCTTATAATGTATAATATTGTTATATTGTTGTGATGTTTTGTGTTGATAGACAGCTTGGCTTACCTTCCCGTTGGTGTCTATCGTTAAAAATGAATAATAGATAGTTTCATTATTGGAACTTGCTGCTTTTATTCATTTACTAAAAGCCAAGACAAAATCTTGCTAAAATTTCAATTTATGTCTTTATTTGATTTTTTTTTTCTTTAGTATTCTTAATCCTTTAGTACTTCGAAAAAGATTTTATAGCTACCTTTTTCTATAAATGTTTATATTAACTGCAATATCAAAAGGTTACAAAAACAGGTAAATCGATTTTCAGTGTTTATATGTGGTGTGTATATATATATATATATATATATATATATATATATATATATATATATATATATATATATATATATATATATATATATATATATATATATATATATATATATATATATATATATATATATATATATATATATACATGATGTTATAATTCCGTAACTATTTTTTATTTTATATTTTACCATATGACGTATTAATACAATATAAAAAAAAAAAAACTTGAATTCCTAAATTTACATCTATTCAATATAGAAATGGTCAGAGTTTAGAAGGCTTAACAAGACCGGGTCCGGTTAGCTTTGTTTGCAAACATGAGATTATGTCACGTTAACAACTTCAAAAGTCAATTTAAAACATGTTTAGTAGCAAAATGTGATATATACAAGTATAAATGTGATAGTATAGTATTAGTCTTTTATGATTTTTTAGCTAATAAAATGGATTTAAGACTAGATTGATTTTTGTTTCCTGTTAAATCGCAGTAAATAAAAATTAGAAGGCCATTTGGCCGCGACAGAATATGCGTCAAGTTTATATTAAACTCATTTACACAAAAATGGAATTGAGACAAGTTAGCTCCTAAAATTATCTATATGTACAGATATGTTTATTGCACATATTAGTAAATAAACTGATTAGTTGCGTAATGAGTTTAAATTTTAGACACTTTTTTAAAGTTGATAATCATAACGTACTTAATTAAACATGCGTGATGTAATTTGCATAGCTAAAGTTAAATGCTCTTTTACTTTAGTTACTGCGCTCAGTGTTGCGCAGTTTGGTTTGTGCGCAGTTTTTCTTTTGTTCTGAAAATTTAAGATTGGAATTTCCAGACTTAATTTAAAAAGCGCGTTTTCTTTATAAATTCTCTGTACATCTAATCGTACCTATCAAGTAGGTCATATTCTGTATAATCAATTCAATCGTTTTCAGTTTTTATGTTTTAACATGTCTACTGCCTTTATTAAATTTGTTTTTAAGCATATTTGTTTTTATTTTTTATATCGAATTAATAGAATGAATCAGATTGAAGATGAAGGTTTGTATTTATTTAGATGTGTATTATGTTACAGATGTATAATGTTATGTTGTTAGTTCTTAAATATATGTTTATTTTTAGTTGCTGAATTACTAAGAAGTAAGTTTTCTTTCATTTTGTTATAAACAAATGTTATAAATTGCATTTATATATTTGTTAATTTAAATTAACTTTACAATATTAAAATAGTTTAAACGAACTTAAACGAATTTTTGTAAATAAATTTAAACCTCAAAAGTTAAATTTTTTTTATTATTGAAGAAATTAAACTAGATTTAAGAATGAGTCGACTTAAATGTTTGTTTGTTTTTCTATTTAGATGATGACAATATTGAAGCAAGTAAGTTAAAAAGCATTTTTAAATTTTTAAAAAGAAATAAAAATACTTATCAATATATATCTGTTTTCTTTGAGGTAGATTTAAAGTTTCAGGTTTATTAAATCATATATATTATAAGATTTAAGAATGAGTCGACTTGAATGTTTGTTTGTTTTTTTATTTAGACGTTGGTGATAATATTGGAACAAGTAAGTTATAAAGCATTTTTAAATTTTTAAAAAGAAATAAAAATACTTTTTAATATATATCTGTTTTCTTCGAGGTAGATTTAAAATTTCAGGTTTTTAAAAATATATATATTATAATATTAAATTCTTTTTTACTTTAAAAATATTCATATTATAGTTACATTAAGTCGTAAAAAAAAAAATTAAAGTTTATTAATAAGGTAGTAGATTATTAGAGTAGATTAAATTGTTTGATCTATTCATCAACTTAATAACGTACTATTAAAGTGAAGATTTATTTTGGTTGTTTGTTTGTTAAAATTTAGTTAGAGTTTATTTAAAATTTAAATTCTTTAGTTAATCAAGAGAGATCTAATAAAGGTATTAATTACATTAGTTAGTTGAATGTGGCATTTAATATGTATTTTATCGATATTTTAACGTATAAACATTAAAGTGATTTTATTGTTTAGATACAGAAGTGAGGAAGGGATTAAGTCAGTATTTTTGTTATTAGATATTTGTTAATAGGAATTTATTTATTTGTACTGCCACTGGAATTTTAAAAAATCAAGTTCTTTAGCTTTTTTTTCATATTTTCTTTTAGAGGAGTTGGAACAAAAACTAAGTATAGTTATGATTAGTTTAGTTTAATAAATAAAGCAATAATATTTAGAAGATTTAAAGTTTACTTTAGTTTATAGTTTTGGTTTAGTTTATAGTTTTGTTTTTAGCATTAGTTATTTTTTTCTTACTTTAGACAACTTTATGGACGAAATGAGGGGATGGGTAAAACAATTATTTAGATATGTATATATTTATATGTTAACATTATTTTATCGATTATTATATATTTATTTAAGTATATATTTGTCTTTAGTGTCTGGTGGAAGTACAGCTGGTAGGGCTGTGTTTTATATTTTATATATTTTGTATAAAGAAATATGTGCAATAGGCGGAAAAATTAATTAGTAATAATGACACTTTTAAACTGGTTGCATTATTGTTCTATATTTTTATTAAAATACAAAATGTTGCATGTTTAACCCTCTTTAATTTGCTCTCATTTTTTTTTTTTTTTTTTTTTAACATCTTCTGTTTCGAATGAAAATGGTGAGGTTATGCTAATTTTTTTTTTTAAATAATTGCAAATGTATAATTTTTATTATATTCTTCTATTTGTGACTTTAGATTCCTTATCATTCGAAGATTTCCAAAATTATCGCTCACAACACCCGGGACCTCTCTCAGAGAGGTCCTCCAATAAATGGAAACATAATGGCGGAGTGGATGAGCCCTCCTTTAAATGGAGGGCTCATCCATACCGGGGTGTTGGGAGACACCGAAGAAAAAACAGCAACCAAAAGGTTGTAAATGTCTTCTATCAGTAGAGATATTTATAACTTTTTAGTTGCTGTTTTTTCTTGGTTTTTTTTTTTTTTTTTTAATTTTGTAATTTTTTGTTTCGGTGTTTTTTTTTTAATTTTGTAATTTTTTTTCAAATATATATTACGTTGTATATTTGATTTGTTTTGATCTTTTTTAATAAAAATTTTAATTGTTTTCTCACCAATTAAACCTGACTTCAAATTTAAAGCCCTCTTAAATACCCCTACCTAAAATGTAAAGTCGAAAGTTGACTTGATTCATTATCCAATTATCATAATATAATGATGCTGCATTCTTTTGTTAAAAACAATTATTTGGTATGTTTCATTTATTGATCTCACTGCTTTTAAAATTTACCAAAACTCAAGGCAATATATTTAGCTATATAATTACAATTTATTTATCTTGATTCCATTCTTCATCTTTTATGTATATAGTTTGGCTCCTTGAAGCATTTTATGTTTTGCTTTTTTTATGAGTATTTTAAATCCGTTGTGATGTCTTTTAAATTAAACTAAAATGTACTAAAAGCTAACATAAAAATTACGTTTTTGAACAACACCAAAAAGAACAGTTGCATCCTTACAGCAACTGCTGCAGTATCATAATAGGTTACCAAAAGCAGGTATACTGTTTTCTAGTTCTTGTTTTTTTTTTCATATATATCGACTTATCTATATAATACTATAGTACGAGTGTTTATATCTCATTCATTTTTTTTTCTATATCTTTAAGGGTTATTAATTTTATTCTTTGAATGAGATTAGTTAAACAAGTCGGCTTTCCATTAAAGATATTGGTTTCAAAATTGAACACCATTGGCAAAATGCTTACAAAATAGGTAGTTTTTAAAAATCTGTTTTCTATTTAATACACTTTTTTTTAAATATACTTTTTAAATATACTTTTTTAATATACTTTTCTATAACAATCCTACTAATATGGAATCACGTAGCTTTTTAAATATGTTTAATTGTCGTCCCTATCGGTAATAAACATTTTAAATTATTTGATATAGTTTTCTTTACTATAGGCTACGCTTGGCTCCTCGGTGCTGTAAATGGTGGCTTCAACTTTGTTTTTTTAAGAAAAATGTGTTTTATATATGCATCTGTTTTAAAATATTTTTGTTACATATTTAACTATATATCATGTAAATAAATTTCTTTTAAAGATATGCAAACTTGATACTTGCTTTTTTACGAATTTTCAAAAAGTGAACAAATGTTTAAATACACTTTTTAACTGTCTTATATGATTTTATCAATTTTATTAAAGCTGAATAATTACTTCAACAATATTAAGTAAAATCCAATTGCTTTTATTATTAACCTGATCTAGACAAAAATTAATGAAATGAAACTAATAATTTAACACCAAGTTAAGGCAAAATGTATTCAGGATATATTAAAAAATTAGTATAAATATGGATTGGATGTATGCTGAAATAAATATGTTGATACACGTTAGCTAATAAATTAAATCCATATATATACCTTCATTGTTTTTTTATAAACAAGTTTCTGCTGGATTACTAATTAAAAAAATATTTTGTTTAATAATAATCTTTATCATAATAATATAGGATCCTTATGCAGGGCTAAGCCCTTTTAGGAATTGCAATATATTTTTCAACTTATAGTTTTTCCGGATATCCAACTTCTATGCCTACAAGTTTGGGTGTAATATTTTAGATGTTTTAAAAATATTTAAAAAGCATATTAATAATATTGAAAAGTTTAGGTGCGATACTGACGTATTTTTAAGCTCTTCACTCAGTAAAATGAAAAGTAAAAAAAAAGAAGCGACTCAGCTTAAAGCAAAATTGAGAGTAGAATATATTTCCAATATTTACCTAAACAATTTTACGGAATTTGAAAATTTGACATCGATGTTCTGTGCATATAATTCAAATCATTTTTAACTACTACATGGTTGTGATTTGCGCATTTAATGTCTGAACATTGCAAAAAAAATGGTTAACTTTATCTTTAATGAAGCTAAAAGTTCTCTTAAATTAAGAAGCCAAGAAAAACAAAAGTGAGCTCAACTAAAAAAATGTATAAATAAATTTATAATCATTAGAGAAAGTAAATAAAGATCAAATTGTTAGTAATGATTTATCTACTACTAACCCGTATTACGGGTTTCTTACTGCTAGTATATATAATAACCACTATAATATAATTTGTTTATAATTATTATAGCTATTATTACTTGACGTGTATCATACTATAATACGAGTAGTTTCTTAATAGTCGAACTCCATTTTTATAACAATATATAAATTCTATTTATTTATTTTTGACTTTAGCGTAAATGAGTTAAGTAAATGTCCATTTGCTGAATTAACGTAGTTTTTCCGTTATTTTGTACGGAAAAAATGAAATAGGAAAACGGTAAATTTTACGGAGAAAGTTCTGTAACTTTTTTTACTGACTTTTTCCGTTGATTTATTACGGAAAATTGAAAGGACGAAATTACGGAGAAATTGCTGTCACTTTGCTGCCGGACAATCTGCGTAGATTCTACGGCGAACTTTTTAACAAAGTATATATATTAGTCGTGCGCTAGATGAACTTAAAAAGAGCCAAACAGTTTGTAAAACTCCTGCTGTATCTTCAGTAAAACAAATAAACTCATACGAATTTGTTTTGCTCACAACAATTTGGCATCATTTGTTACCAAAATTCACATTTTAAACCTATTGCTAAAGCAAATAGATAAGACATTTAATATTGCATTACAACATACAGAGGTTATGCTATTATTGCTTGATGATTCTTCTTTTATGTTCTGTTCAAAAAGAATTTTGAACAGAACATAAAAGAAGCACAATAAACATCGGTAAAAATAAATGTTATAGCGCAGTTCACTTAACAGTCTTTATGCATTTCTCAAATAATACCAAGTAGAAACAAAGATTGTCTTGATAAACCACAAAAACTAGTTTACCATTACTAAAACGAAAGGTACTTAATCTCAGGAGAATGACAGACTATTGTCCCATGAAAAAGTAAGGAGAAACAAAACGATATTGGTGATATACGAAACAAACAAATTGAAACAATAGACAAAGAAGTTGATCTAATTCAATCCTGTATTGATATTGATATACGCGATCTCATTTCTAACTCAATTATTTATCTAACTGAAACAGTTGACTTTAAATTTAAAAATTCTTATTTTAATAAATTTAGTAAAAGATTTATTGCAAGAACAGCTTGAATCGTATAAATCTTTAAATCAAGTTTTCCGCATACTTTCCAACAATAAGATGCTTAAAACAATAAGTCCAAATGAATTTAATACTAATTATACAAACCTGATCCAACACTTAGAAGATGATGCTGAAGAGTTGGAATTTAAAAATGAACTTTCTTATTTAAAATAAATTTTAGATGATACTAATGATTCTAATATAGAGAATTAGGAATTCGTTTTATAAAAGAGTTTCCCAAAATTATGCTCATATGTATGTATATTAAATAATTTACTTAACCATAGCTTGTTGTGAACATTAGTTTTCAAAAACTAAATTTATTTAAATTGTCAACAATGTCTCAGGAAAAAATTTTAGAATTAGCAATACTGTCGACAGATCACTCAACCGCCAGAACAATTAGTTACTGTAATAT